CTTGTCCTAATATGTTCTAATTTTTCTAGTGTGTTCTAGTGAGTATTGCTTGTGCTGAGCTTGTATCAGTTCAAAGCTGCTTAATGTCACTGCAGACAGGAGAAAAGGCTTGTGAAGACTTATTAAAGTTTATTAAAAGTATTTAAATACCGATACATTTGATTTTCATGATAAATATTAATAGTAGTCACAATAATATTAATATTTTTTCACAGAAACCCCTGTTGTAGTCCAATGCCTATGCAGGTGTACCCCACCTTTCACCCTATCACAGCTGGGACAGGTACCACCCACCATGACCCTAGAATCCAAAAAATGGATGAACCTTTAAAAACTTTGATACACTGAAGCAAAATATCCCAAAATCGAACGTTTAAATAAAAATTTTGCAGAGTATTAAACAAGTAGATCCTCTGTGGATCAATTTAACTTTTCCCATTGTTTTATCATTAATATATTTATCTTTATTCCCTAAATTTGGGCTGACAGAGTGTGAACCCAATCAGAGAAACTAAGGCAAGACATGATGTGAGAGGATTGCCGGTGACCTCTACCAAATATCTTCATTGTGCAGACCCAGTTGTTCCATGTTTCAGTGGGAAAGTGTTAGAAGAGCTGCAGATGTCCTGCTGCTTTTATTCAGAATTGTACTTTTCAGGCTCGAGAAGTCATTTGTCCACAAGGTGGGAGCAGTTTACACTGTTACAGCTTTATGTCACTTCAGGATAAGACGATGTGATGTCTGTTTCCTGCAACATTTATGGAATGAGGCTTGTTTGTACTGTCTTGCTGTGTTCATGCACACAAAAAATAAATGAATGGAGTCAGTTTCACAGGAGGAGGAGGAGGAGAAGGTCACAGATGTAGTTCGAAGGAATGTTGGCAGCTTTTCTCTGCAGCTCTGTATCGCTTCAATAAAGCCTCCTTTCTATACATCCTCTGAGCCTGAACACAGAAAGAGACTTCAAGCTGAGAAGATGAAAAAACAAACTGCTCTCTTTCTTAAGGAAAGTTGATCTCCAGCATTTCAGACAGAAATCCATCCAGTTCTTATCCCTCAGCAGGTTATTCACATTATGACTATCAGATTCCATCAGGACCAGTATCATCTTGTAACTTAGTGACTCAGAGTCCAGTTTGGAAAACATGTTGTTTGAAGTTCATGAGCTCTACAACTGAAAAATGTATCTTCAAAACCTTAAATGTATTTCTTTCTTCTTCTTCTTCTTCTTCTTCTTCTTTTTCAATTGAGACTCTTCTCAGTCAAAAAGTAGCAGGAATGGCAGACGGTTGAAGCTGTTCATGTATGGAAACAAGAGAAAGAAAATGAAGAGGGGGAAGAGAGAAGATGAAAAGATCAAGAACAGTAATGGGACATGTAGCAGGCATTTTAATTATATCTCTCTCCAATAATCCAAGGATTGCAAAGGTTGTGTAAAGAGTTTCTGTGGCTGTCGTGCATGAGATTCATTAAGGAAGATGGGTAACTCCTACATCCTCCCTGCAGCGATAGGTTTTCAGTGTTCATATAGTCCACAGTTTCCACCATCCACTGTCTCCTCCGACATGCTCCGTGAACAGGTCTGCAGAGGTCCCTGTGAGGAAGGATCAAAGGTTAGGTCAAAGCTGTGCTCTGCACCAAGAAGGGAGCCCCTGTAGCCTTATATTTCATACAGGCTTGTTTGGATCGGAGGAACAAGACCTTATAAGACTTACAGGAAGTTCCCCCCCCTTTTTTTGTCTGCATGGTAGGAACTAGTAATTTCCAGAGACCCTGTTTGTGGAGTAGCTCCTACTTCAGGGTCGGTGCTCTTCAACACAAGACTAACTGTTCAGTGGTTATAATGCACTCTTCTGGACATAGGCACACATCAGAAGAACAAATATTATAAAATCCATGTAAACATGGTGAACAGTTATGTCTAAAAATACACAGGGTATTAGAGAATATTTAGTATTCATATATGTGACTTAGGAAATGCAATGTGACTTTCAGATCTTGCATTCCTTCATCATCCAACAGTGTTCATCAACACAAAGCTAACTTCTATAGAGAAAAAAAATGAAGAAACTGAAACGACACCACTATGTGTGCTCACAACTTTTATGAACAGAATTTCTGGGGATAACTACATGGTGGAGAGTCTCCACAGGAGCTTGTCTCTGCTTTTTTCCTATAGTAATTGGTTGTAGAACAACCTGATAATGCCCAACTCTAGGTCGGGCATTATTTGCTGCCCCAGTTGAAGGACTTTAAGGAACTTTAAGGGTCGGGAGACTAACAAGTAGATCATGTGGCAAGTGCATTGATATGGACAAGGTACTGGTCTGTGATGGTGTAGCCATTGGCTCTGTTTGTCTGGGCTGAGGCTTGGTGGTGAAGACAGGGGCTCAGTCATTCAGAAGAAGCATAGGTCAACATTTCAACAGTTGCCTCAAGGTGCTTTATATTGTAAGGTAGACCCTACTATAATACATACAGAGAAAAACACAACAGTCATAAGATCCCCTAATATGAAGCACTTTGGCGACAGTGGGAAGAAAAAAAATGCCCTTTTAACAGAAAAAAATACTTCCAGCAGGCTATGGAGGGGCAGCCATCTCCCACAACCAGTTGGGGGTGAGGAAGAAAAAACAAAAGACGTGCTGTGGACAACAACATGCAGTGATATAAGATCAGTTTAAGAACTGTCTGTCTGTTTCTCACAGACTCTGTATGGCTTGAGCTGATGGCTTCTTTGTTTGAGGAGATTTTGTTTTTAATGTGCTTTCATAAATCTGATATTATTTGTATAAAGGTTTCTAAAAATGTGTCTTATCATCGGTGAAAAACTAATACCGCTTTTTTCCAGAAATCTGCATTAAAAGGGACTTCCTCTACAAACTACAGCTGGGCTCACAGAGGAGACCAGATTGAACCTCGCTTTTTAAACTTTTTTTTGTCTGCTGCATTTCTGCCTTGAATCAAAGGGGACTGTATGATCTTAAAAACAGATAAAACTATTGTGTTCAGAATCAGAATACAAAATCTGTATTTGTGTTCAGTTTTAAGAACAGAGTGGATGGTTTCTGAAAAGTGTCTTAGAGGTGGTGAAAAACTGTAAGACTGCAGGTCAGCCGGGGTCTCAGCTCAGCTTGGCAGCAGAGAGACCACTCTCATCTTTCAGTCCAACAATACAAGTCTGTTTTAACCAAGAAATTAATTAGAGTTGAAAGCTGAAACCCTGGGAGAAGGGGGGTTGAAGGTTATATGGCCTTTAAGGTTTTGTAAAGTGTCTATAGTTGTGGAAGGTTTTATCATTTCTTTATTTGTACATAGAAAACAAACAGAAAACACAGCTGCTTTAAGATGATTTGACATGCACATTGGTCCCTGACTTTTTAAAGCCGTTTAATGTCTTTAATTTATTGTTTTGCGTTCATGACCACAATAGGCTGAAAATCCAGTTCATGGCATGTTTTTACTACTTCTCTTTAACAGAGGAGTTTCCCTGTGTAATAATGATTACGATGCAATAAGCACAGACACTAACGACAGAATCGCTGTCGTCCTTGTGACACATTGACAGGGTGGAAGCCCCCTTCATAACAATTTTTTTTGGTTCACCATGATCTTGAGTTGAATATGTGGAGGAAAATGGATGGATGAATGGTTCATTATGCGGTCAGGGTGAAGTTAGCTGGTTTGGCCAATCAGCTTTTGATTCCTACATGATGTCAGAGCTAGAGGTAATTTTTTTTGAGCTACTCATAATTGAATCCGAAATTGAATGACACATCCTCCCAGATCAGACGTGTGTCCCCGGAAGATGTCATTCCTGCTCTTAACCCTGCCTACAAAGCTCTGATTGGCTCATTATAGCTGCCAGTTAACACAAACACAGACTTCAGAGTAACTAACAAGCCTGAGATGTAGTGGAGTGATTTGAAAGTGGGTTCTGCAGGTAACAGGTGACCAGCAGGTCACATGAGTCACAGTAGTTACAGTTCACTTGTTTTCACTTGATTGTGTAATCAATATGTTTGACTGGAAGTTAGCAACAATTTCTACCTGTCTAATCTAAGGTAACCTCCAGGGGCAGACCTGAACATCACCTGGTTAGGATGGGTAACCTGCTGGTGAACCCTACTCCAGTGCAAACTAGGATGGATTTCAGGGCCAGTGAGGACCAGGAAAGTAACATTCATATAAGAACCAGTACATGATCTAGTAGTTTTAGTCTCAGTCGTATTTGCAGTATTTTCATAGATAGCATGAGCAGCCCCTCCCTTCCTGTCTGAGTATAAATACGAGTGTTTGAAGGAGGAGCTGCAGCTCTTCAGGTGCGTCTCTTTAGCTCAGCACACACCTGTCACACAGCAACATGCTGCCAGCGTGAGTATTTGTAATACTACTATTACTACAAATGTTACTCTATGTACTGCTAAAGATACCAGCATGAGTGATACTACTAATATTACTGCATTTTAAAATAATAATACTGCTCTACACAAAGCTATTGATGACTACTCCTTCATTTTATTCTTGTTATACTGTTATCCTACTGTGCTTGTATTACCAAAACTGTTTCTACTGCACTATATACTTTTGATACTACTGCTACTAACAATAGTATTAATAATATTAATAATAATAATAATAATAATGCACTTAACATTGATAAAACTACTAATGTTACTGCATTTTAAACTGCTTCTATTGCCACAACCATTATACTGCTAACACTAATAATACCACCGCATTTTTACCGCAGTAGTATTAATAGTCTACTATTACAACTACTAATAATAATACACTTTATACTGTGAAGACTGCTGTTACTCATATGACTTGTACTAGTGCTACTATAACTGCACTATACAACAAACACTCCTGCATGTCGGTGTTGTAATACTTAGTACTTTTGCAGTTCTGCTGTGCTTCATGTAGTTGAAATCATTGGTATTACTTCATCCTGACTGGATGCAGATTATTACTGACTGTTTTTGACTGTCAGCTCATTTGTCCAATCAGATCACTAAAAAAGTTTCTTGTTTTTTGATCCAATCAGAGTTCAGCCATCGTCATTCCACGTGGTGGTGGTATTGATTATATTGACAGCGGTTTGTGTATTGATTGATTTCAGCAGAAATGGACTCATTACTAATGATCATTGATGAGGTTTATTGGTGCTGATTATTTTATTGTCCCTGTATCTTATTGATGAGTGTATGTGAGGCTGATTCTGACAGTGTTGGTCAGTACTGATTAATCTCCTCTGTCACAACAGAAATCTATTGATCATGTCCATGGCCGTCTTTTTGACAACAGCAGTTTCTACCGCTCCCTTGGAGGGTAAAAAAAAGAGAAGCTATGTTTTGTATCTTATTTCATTTTATTATTTCTGTTTGGAGAGAAGACTTTCTGTGTGTCTTCCAGAGAAGGAGCTGGAGGAGGTGGAGGTTGAGGCCACAGAGGAGGGGGAGGTGTCCGAGGAGGAGGAGGGTAGGCCTTGTGTGTGTGAGAGAAGCCAGCTTTTATTGTGAAAAGCAGATTTGTGTCAAATTGTTCATGAAGCATAAACTCAGAGTTTATACTGATGACAAAATGAAACCAAACTGAGGTCACACGAATGGAACCTGACCCTCACACAAGCCTCAGAGTGGACAACATCATCATCGTCTGTGATCTTTTCAAACCGGTTTAAACTTATCATAAAGACACAAACATGTCACACATTTCAGTCACAAAGCTTTTCAAAATAACTCTTCAGGCAGTGAGATTCTTTCTTTATTAATGATACACTACATAACCATGACATAACCTTAGGTAATCAGTGTTTGCCAAATATTACCTGGTGTTGGTTCTTGGGGTTTGTTTGGGTGAGTAAATGTGTGTGAGACATTCTCAATGACCCCTCTTCGGGTCCCTGTTCAAAGTACAGTGGGTGTGAGACTGTAGGGCTGACAGTGAAGGTTTGGAGAAGGTGGTGTTTGCTGTTTTTGAGGGAAAAATGACAAAATCCAACAGCTTTTTCACAGTACTCAGTCCTCAGAACATCACCTATCTCTCATTTGTGTACTAAAATGTTTTTACTGACACAAACCACCACATCCGGGTCAAGATATTATAGGTTTTCTTTGTTTATTGTTAATTTTTTTGTGTTTGACTGAATTAATTTCAGTGTAACTCCTGTAGGATGCGTGGCCTCTGTCCAGTAAATGAAATATTAGAAATCATAAATCTTAGTGAAGCAGTGAGTGCAGCACATGTGTTAATGCTAAGCTAGGTGACATACGTGCATAGGGGAAAGTTCAGGAAGCCAGAGGGAAAGGTAGAAGGAGTCAGAGGTCAAAAGTCAGAGCAGAAATAAAAAGACACTAAAACAGAGAAGTGTGACATTTGTTTAAAACTTCTAATTAGACATAAATGTTGGATGTCTTCTCTTTCCAGATGATGATGACTCCAAGAGTCAAGATAAGATTGAGGGTGAGAGGCAAAACACACTGTGACCTTTGCCCTGTAGTTTTATCTTATAAACCTGCATAAACACAAAGAAATGAAAAGTTCAAACATCAGACTGTTGTTTAAATGAACGTGACGTGAGAACTTTATAAACATCTCTTTAAAAATCTGTAATATATGTTTTTCAGTCTTATCTAAATGTGTCACAGAATGAATCTCAAATGATGCCTTTAGGTTTTTAATAATCTCTGGAAACACAAGCTTCATTCATGCCGAACACCTGATAGTTTGCTCCTCCCCCTCCTGCAGGAGCATTTGGTGGGCAGCGGACCACCACGGCAACGGTGGTGGCAGTGGGGGCTGCTGGGGGTTCAGGTGAGTAGACCTGATCAGGTTTTTCCTTCCTGAATAGTTTTTTTGTTTGTTCCAACTGGTCTCAGGTTTAATCCAGATTAACTGGCTGCTTTTCAGACCAGGATTACCCTGAATGGGTCTAGTCCACTTCCTGAGCTCCTCAGGTTACTGCAGGATGTCCAGAACTACGGCATCACGTACAGGACAAACTCTGCAAAAGCAAAAGTAGCAAATATGTTACTAAACACAAGCAGTGAAGTCTCTGCAGTCTTTGAGAGACTAAAACTCTTAGTTTGTGTTTCTTATATTCATATGTAGCTGTGTACAGTCTAATTTCAGCTAACTGTAATAATCTACTGCCTGTTCATTTTTTAGCTTTATTTGATAAACACAGTGAAGAGAAGACAGGAAGGCAGGAGCAGAGAGAGAAGGAAGAAGGCATGTGGCCGCAGGTCGGACTCAAACCCAGGCCAGCCGCTCTCAGTCGTATGGCATGTGGTTGCCCGCTCAATGCATTGAGCAAAACTAGCGCTCCCAGACTGTTCATTTTTAAAAGAAATATGAAATCACCATTATGTTAGAAAGTACTGAAAAATAATATTTAGTTTTTGTATTTCACACAAGCAATTTACAAGAAATGTAAATGTTTGATGATAAAATTGTGCTTCTTTTTTATGGAAGTAAAGATTATAAATGTAGAGGTTTTTCAGCAAGAAAACATGAAGATGAGTTTTTGGTGACATGCGTGGTTTGACTCAGGTGTATTTTCTTTGCAGGTGTATCCTCTGACATTCAGGATCTAAGTGGTAAGTTCAGCTAAATGTATAGTTTCTTGAAGGTGTTAGAGAAAAGTACAGAACGCTGATAGCTTATCAGAGTCTATCCCAACTTTATTGAGAGACATTCTCTTATTTGATTGAAATATTACTGATATTTCTGTGTTCTGTGTGTTCTGTGTTAGGCTTTTGGCTTTGGGACCGTGTGTAGTCATAGAAAACAGAACTTCTCTGACATTTAGTTGTTAAACTAAGGTTCACGAAACAAAATAAGTATAAGTTGAAAATTCATGACGGTTTACTGTTTTTCTCAGAGCCTGCTGTACACCCTGACAGTTATCATTAGAAAAAACACTCAACGTCAAATCCCAGAAACTGCATCATGGGAAGCCCTCAGCAATCTGAGGCTATTATAACATAACTAGCAGTCAGGCTCACCTGACTATATCCATTATCAAAGAGGAAAGTTTTAAGCCTAATCTTAAAAATAGACAGGGTGTCTGTCTCCTGAATCCAAACTGGTTGCTGGTTTCACAGAAGAGGGGCCTGAAAGCTGAAGGCTCTGCCTTCTATTCTACTTCCATTCTAACTCTTCAGTCTGAGAGCAAATATACTTGTTTAAAAATGATGTTTATTTTCAGCTTCCAGTGGTCAAACAGCAGGGGGAAGAACACATGAAGGAACAGCCGGAAGCTCAGCAGGTAAACCAGGTGAATCTCATCCAGAGAGAAACGCGATGACAAATATGAACATCTTAGACAGTAAAATGTTTGATTTGAATGGTAATCAGATTTCAGTCACTCTGCTCTGATCACTTCTCTGACTTTTGTTAGGTTACAGTCTCATCAGTGGAAACACTCCCTACTTAAAGGATCACACAGAAATCTGTGTGGCAATTTAATACTTTTAAGAGACATGTTGCACTCCAACCTCTTTACAACGGTTGAACTATCCAGTCATTTTGCTACATCAATACAGTGTAGTGCCTCTACTCAGGACCAGTAAATATTAGATGGATTCTATAGCGTTTTTCTACTCTGAGCACAAAGCAGGTTCTACAACTTGTCCCATTCATCCATTCTCATAAGCACTTTTTACTTATGCTATTCCTATGTAAGTGTTTCTATCTAACATTCACACATATTTATACTCTTGGTTGCTCTCAAGTGGGGTTAATATCTTGGCAAATGTCTTTGGTCTGTATTTGCATGCAGACTAGAGCAGACAAGGCTCAAATGACCAACCTCCCTATTAGTAGGTGACCTGCTCTATCTCCTGAGCTACAGCCACCTCTTATTGTACTGCAATATCAATTTCAACACAGACTCCGAATATCTACGTAGGTTTGGAAGGAGGTTTTGATTTTAGGGTCTCAGGAAAAAAGTCATCACTGAAGTGAACAACTGGGACCCTGTTACCTTAGGAAAGCAAATCATAAACAATACACAGTACACAGTCACACAACCTGGAAAATAACACCTGCTCTTCATAGGTGTAAAACAAGCAAAATAAAAGGAGAAATGAAATTAAATGAAATTAATAAAACAAAATAAAGTCTTCCTGTTGTAGAATGAAGTCCAGTCTGAATTGTCTTTTAATGTTCCTTGTGACCCAAAAAGCAGTCCCTTCAAAGCAGTGCTTTAAAGCACAACTACCCATCTACTACCCGGGTAGGACTAATAAAACATCTGAATCCCAAGGAATAGCTTGACTCAGCCCTTCAGAGATCTCCCACAATCCAATCGCATGGCTGGCCACACCATTTCACCATCATCCAGAATGTAATTGGGCTGTACTCACCATCAGTGGTTCTCCACAATCCTGTGTTGGGATTTTTCAATACTAATATTGCAACACCAGTTGTTTTTTTCTACTCCGAATTCATGGCCAGGATCTCTTTGTCTTGCTCTGATACACACTTGGCCACCATTACTGGAAACAATCTCACAAGGAAGTGTTAGACAATGTTTCCTGTGCTCAAGACATAAGTTCATTGCACGGTCTGTAAGGGCTTTGAACATCTGACCATTTTACTTTGTTGTTTTTAATCACTGATTTTTGTATTTAGAAGCTAAAAACTGCTCCTGTTGTTACAGGTTCTGCAGCAGCTGAGATCTCTGATGTCTCCACAGCTTTGATCCATTCTGCAGGTAAACAGCCTGGGCTTTTTTAAAAATGGCAGATATGTGGACTTTTATTTTGAAGAACAAACAGGGTGCAGTCAATAACTATTTGCGGCCTGTATCCATTTGGATGGAACAAAACTTCATGTCAAAACACTGAAATCATCGTCAAATGGCATCATGACATTACAAAAACGTAAACACAAGAATTAAGGTGTTTATCATTAAGGGGGGAACAAATCCAAGCCTATGTGGCTCTGTGTGAAAAAGTGATTACCCCCCAAACCTAATAACTGGTTGGAAAACCCTAAGCAGGAAATTAACTGCAATCTAGTGTTTGCGATAACTGGAAATAAATGCTGTGGAGGACTTCCCTCTCATCTTTGCAGAATTGTTGTAATTCACCCACAGTGAAGGGTTTTCAAGCCTGAACCACCTTTTTAAGGTCACCCCTCATCTCAACCAGATTCAGGTCAGAAATTTGACTAGGCCCCTCTAAAGTCTTCGCTTTATTTTTCTTAAGCCATTCAGAGGTGGATTTGCTGGTGTTTTGGATCATTATCCTGCTGCAGAACCCAACTGCACTTCGGCTTGAGATCACAAGCAGATGGCCAGACATCCTCCTTCAGGTCGTTTTGGTAGACAGCTTTGGTAGACAATTCATTGTTCCATTTACCACAGCAAGTCTTCCAGGTCCTGAAGCAGTAAGCAGTCCCAGACCATCACCATACTGGCATCATATTTTACTGTTGGCATGATGTTCTTTCTCTGAAATTCTGTTACTTTTATGCCAGATGTACTGGACATACACCTTTCCAAAAGGTTCAACTTTTGTCTCATTAATCCACAGTATTTGTGAGCAGAGGTTTTCATCTCGGAACTCTCTTTTTTCCCAGTCTTGCAGAGTCATGAACGTTGACCTTAATTGTGGCACGTGAAGCCTGAAGTTCTTTGAAAGTTGTTCTGGGGTCTTATGACCTCTTGAATGAGTCATTGCTGTGGTCTTGGAGTCATTTTGGTCGTTTCACCACCACACCATCACACCTCTTTTCATGGTGGTAACCATGTAGTAGTAGTAGAGACCATCCTTTCACAGCAGGTGGAACTAGAGATCTAAAATTTGGACTCATCAAAGGAAAGCAGATTTCTACTCATCTGATGTCCATTCCTTGTGTTTCATGACCTGAAACAAATCTTTTCTGCTTGTTGCTTTTCCTTAGTAGTGGTTTCTTAGCAGCTTTTTGACCATAAAGACCTCATTTGTACAGTCTCCTCTGAACAGTTGATGTAGAGATGTGTCTGCTACTGGAACTGTGGCATTTACCTGGGCTCTAATCTGAGGTGCTGCATAACATAACTGAATGTCCCAACCCCATTAAGAAGGCAATAAATTCCACAAATAAACCCTGACGAGGCACACCTGCGAAGTGAAACCCATATCAGGTGACTACTCATGAAGCTCACTGAGAGAAGGCCAAGGGTTTGCAGCACTGTCAACAAAGCAAAGGAATCTAAACTATAAGACATATTTAGAGTTATTTATCATTTTTGTCTTTGCTTAATAATTCCATATATCTTGCTTCACATATTTGATGTCTTCAGTATGTATCTACAAGGCAAAAATAGTAAAAATAAAGAAAGTCCATTAAATGACAAGGTGTGTTAATCGATGATTTCTGTGTTTTAAGGAGACAAGCATTCCTCTGCTTTATCTCACACAGAAACAAATGGTAAGTCTAATTATTACTCTGCTGACATTTTGAGAATTATTGATTCCTTAAGCTCAGCACAACAGCTGACTGTACGAGCCCTTTAGCATAGAAAGCTTCACATCTTTTAACCTGGTCTTTGTCTGCAGGTTCTGCAGGAGCTGGCTCAGAGACCAACAGTAAGTAGCTTTCAAATCCCTCAAATAGAGACCAATCAATAGATCATTGATTAAACATGAATGAGTTGAAGACCTTTCAATATGTCTGTGAAGATTCTCAGTTTATTGTAGTCTAAGGAGCTTGGAAAGAAAAGCATCTGGACTTCTTTAAGTTTCCTTGAAGAGGTTTCACCTCTCATCCGAGAAGCTTCTTCAGTTCTTGGGTCAAATGTGGCAGTGTCCCCCCAAGAAGGACAACAGACCCCCTATTGATCCTCTACCAAATCACACGAACCAAGGTGTGAAAACGGGTGTAGGTCACAATCAGCCAAGGTTTTTGGTGAGCTCATTGTGAAACCAAGCTCCATCCTATTATGTGATTTCCTGAGGTCAAATGGCCAAGGACGTGAGTGGGCATTAAGGCGTCTGGGAAGCAATCTGGATTATAGATGGTAGACAGTTGGTGTCGTAACCCACCGCCTCTGTTCAAGGATGGTCGTTCACAGTGGACATAGATGGCATTGGCATCCTTGAAAGAGTGACCTTTGTCCTTTAGATGCCATTGTCCCTCTCATGGGGAAACACCCACAGGACTCTCCACCATTTGACTCTAGAACAGAATAAGCTTCTCGGATGATTTATGAAGCGCCTTGAGGCGACTTTTGTTGTGATTTGGCGCTATATAAATAAAACTGAATTGAATTGAATTGAATTGGATGAGAGGTGAAACATCTTCAAGCAACTTAAAGAAGTCCAGACAAAAGATCTTACAATCTCTTCAAAAAATTATCAATTCTTGTTTTGTTTTGTTTTTTCGAGGTAATGGACAGAAGCTCCTGAATGGAGGAGGAGGGGGTGGAGTTGGCAGTCAGACAGGTAACGCGATATGGAGAGGGGCTACAAGGGAGACAGGTGAAACCTATTTTTTAAGAAGCTCAGAGACATTAAGTTCAACTCTCTTTTCCAGATGCTGTGGGATTCGTTCAGGGTGACGTTTCTCACCTGGGTTATACAGGTGAGTGTCCAGGTGAGGTGTCTGTGACATCACTTTTACTTCATCAAGTCAGATTTAAGTGCTACAAAGGCAAAGAACACTTCTATGGCTTTAAGGAGGAATCTCTCAGCAGCTGTCATTGACTTTTTCTCCTTTAGGATCCATAGAGCCATCTAGCCATGACTTCCTGCTTGGCATGATGGGTAAGTTCAGCTGCTCTCATTTTACAAACCAATAATTTTCTTAAATCTGAAGCTTGATTTGATGATAAAATCTGAGGTCATTCTAGATACACACTGACTCTTTTGGTCTTTTGCTCCAGCTCTGACTCACAGAGGGATGTGGCGACACAAACAGGCTTTCTCTGCAGTAGCGGGCTCAATAAAACCTTAAACCCCAGTCAGAGATAATGATTATCAGATTATTAGTCTTCTTTGTTAGGCCAGGCTCTCTGCTTCACTCCCTGAGAGCCCTCAGACAAAACGGGTTATTTCACAGGTCATGGTCATTTGTGAGTGACACATTATCAGATGATGATGATGATGATTAAAACGTCAAGGAAGAATATAAAAATATCACATAGAGCAAGATGGAGATGTATGTCACAGAGCAGTAAAATATTTTAATTACAGCTAATTATTTTACCTATGAGTATGGTCAATGCTGCTGTTTATTTCTGTAGACACTAAAACTGGTGAGCCAGATTGTGTTACAGGAAGTTCTTTAAATAAAAGGGGATCAGATTCCCAGGGCACAGAGACTATAAGTCTAACAAGAAAAGGTTTATTCATGGAGGTGGAAAGCAGGAATAAAAGCAAACAAAATTCTAAAAAATGTTTTGCATTAAATGTTCTTGGTACCCTAAAATCCCCCAAGAATAAATAAAAACAATTCTTAAAACTACAATAAAATGTTCTTTGTACAGTAAAATCCCACACAGTCCAGCAATTCAATTGTCCTACAACCCAATACGAATGTTCCTTATATGTAAAAGTTAAAGAGAGGAATTCCTCTTCTGAAGTGGGGGCCACCCCAGCCTAGTCCTAGGAGAAACCTCCCATCTCTGTCTCATCCCTCCACTGGGCACCCCCACATCACAACGCAGCTTGCACTCCGCACTTGAGTCTCTCGCTCGCTGCATCGCCCTGTAAATAAACATACTGGCCAGAACCATTGTCTGACCTGGCTAATAGCCATGTCATATCTGGCCGATCCCCTTGCTCAGCCAACTTTCTTTAAACAAGTCCTTTCCCCAGCTGATAGGCCACACCCACACCTCAACAGACGCCTGCTATTTGCTAACTGTCCAGAGTCCACAGTGGATTAAAACAATATCATGCAACAAAAAAAAACAAACCCCAAAAAACAAACACTAAAAACATGCAATACAAATATCAGAATAAAATCATGCAAATATAATCAGAACCAGACTCACAAATAAACACTAAAATCAGAATAAGACCAATTATAAAGAAAAAAACAAAATACATCTCGGTAACAGCTGCACCTTAATTGTGAGATCTAAAATTGGATCTATTAAGGCTTCCTGCTAGCTGCTGCTCTCTGGCAGGTAGCTCCATGCCCTCCGGGGTTTTAAATGCACCTTAGACCACACATGCATCAACACTACATATGAGCGGGTGGAGGGAGGTTTGGAGTCTTCACATACCCCCGCTACCCCCACTCCCTCTAGCAGATCATTACATGAAGGAACTTTTTGAATTCAAGCGCGCTCATGCTCACAGGTGTACACACGGGTGCTCACACACACAAACTACACTCTTTTTGGCTCCTACCTCAAAGCACACTGTGCGCTGTCGAGCTTA